ATTATTTCCCACTGAATAAGGTAACATGTTATATCAATGTTATAAGTTCAGTTACCTTAAAATAATATTATTTTTTAAAACATTTAACAAAAAGTAATGCAATTTTATAAAAAATTTCATAATTTTTTATAAAATTGCATCATTTTGTGACACTTGGCAATAGTTAGGTATTATATAATAAATCAGACTTTAAATGAAATTACGTGAAAGATAAACTATCTGATTTTATTTAAAGACTGTGATTTCATCCGACTAGCAAACAATTAATGATAATGTGTATGCGAGTACGAATTAAAATCACTTTTTTTTTCATACGAGTAGGAAACAAAATATGACATATAATAATCTTATGACATTTGACGATGACAATGATACAGTAAAATGGATGACAGTTAACACCAATGTGGTTCTCTTTTGTTACAAATATGTGCTGCATATACACAGTAATATAATGTCAGATAAGAGTAACAAAGTTACGCTACATTTATGTAGATATGATACTAACAAATGTTATGTAACCTGTTAGCTCCATGTTACATAACTGTTAAGTTACTGCATTGTAACAAATGTCACGTAACTAGTTAGCTGTTAGGTTATTACATTGTAACAAACGTTATGTTATTTGTTAGTTTTAAGTTACGTAACTGTTAGGTTTGATGTTCAGTGGGGTACGGCATACGTTAGACTATAAACGTCTTTTAGCACATATGGAAAAACGCAAATATTTTTAAGGAATAATAAATTAATTTGGCGCTTGTGTTCAAAATAGTTTAGAATTTTAAGTTTCCACTAAAGCGAATGCGTGATATATCAATCCGCTAGGTCATAAACGTCTTTAATCGCACATGTAAACACATAAACATGTAAGCGTACTTTTAAAGAAATATTTAATTTGGCGCTTGTGTTAAATATTCTTTCGAATTAACCCTGTTTAATATCAAATTTTTCACTCAATTTATTATTTTCTATTTAGAAATAAAATGGCGTAATAAACTTCGCGCTCGAGTAAAAAACTGGGAAGGTATTATACGTTGTAATATACGCGTAAAAAGCCACGTATATTACATAGCGTATTATATCTACCCAACCCTGATGAGAACATGACAACACGAATGATTTGTTTAGGTTAGGTTTCTATATTTACTTTGTGCTTCATGGTATCAGATAACTTCTTGCACTCGTTGCGTTTACTTGAGGGCGAGTGCGGAAAGTACTACACGTTTGCAATAAAGTGTAAAAGTGAAATTATACTCGTAATCAAATAGTAATAAATTTGTCGTTACACTCGATAACTTGGTGAAAATGTATACTATTAGCGTTTTCTGCTGAGCTACATTTTCTTATATTAGTGTTGCGCAAGTGTAGTGCCAGTGCATGTCAACACCTTTTTAGTGTTAAACAATACAAGCGTTTTTCCTGCATTGTTACGCCGCACAGGGGACAAATCCCAAAAACCTGGCCAAAAGTAGAAAACGTTTTCCAATTTAGTTGAAATTCGCTATTCTGGGTCACTAACCACGAATCCGAAGTTAGCACCTTAAAAAACAAAATGGCGGAGTCAATATGGCGAAGAATTTTCTGAAAAATACATTGAATTTAGTTGAAATTTAGTATGGGGATTTCTGGGGTCGCTGATTGCGAATGCGAAGTAAAAAGTTTAATAAGAATAAAATGGCGCACACATGACATCGAAAGTAAGCAAAGAGTGCAAATTTCAGTTTGTATCCAAATGGTACATCGAACCATATAGGTAGTCTTATTTTTTTCCTAATTAATTTTATCATTTAATGCATATAGAGTTATAAATATGCTTAAACTGATGTTTTTTCTTTTTTAATAAAAAGTTGTAAAGTTTTGGTTTACCTAGGGGTCTCCTCGAGCCTTGTAACTAATTTCATGGTATCGTTAATTCTGTAATCTTAGGTTTAAATAAATAAAATCTTACACAAATTTGCATTTTTTCGACTAAATAGGTGATAATCCAAGGTAACATTTTTTTTACTCGACAAAGTGCAAATATATCCAAGATTTTGTTTATTAAAACGAAAAATTGCAGTATTAACGATAACATAAAATTACTTACAAGGCTCGGGTAGATCCCTAGGTAAACCAAAACTTCAGAATTTTTTATTAAAAAAAGAAAAAACAGTTTAAGTATATTTGTAATCCTATATACATTAAATGATAAAATGAATTAAGAAAAAATGAGCCCATCTGTATGGCACGATGTATTATTTAGATGCAACCTGAAATGTAGAATTTATGCTTCCTTTTAATGTCACCAGCTCCTCAATTCCCGTTTTTAAAATCGGCCATTTTTTTTTATTCTTGACAAGTGTAATTTTTAAAAGTTTACGCGTCCGACCGATGCGGTAGCACTATCGCATATTACTGAACTCCATGAAAATAGTGTACACTGTCAACAATGAAACCGTGTTGCTATATTATTCTCTCTACACTTGTGCAATACTGGTGTAAGAAAATGTAGCCCAGGTGAAAACGCTATCAGTTGAGTGTTGATTTTGGTCCTGCAATTATAACCAGGTTTTGGAAATGCAAGACCAAGACCAATATTGCCCACGACTACCCAAGATTACTTGCAAACATTTGTATTGTTATCTCACGCTTTTGTTACATATGCTCTCCGCAACAATGATAACGTGCACCGAATCGAGTGCAGAGTAGTACCCCATCAACTCGACATTGACTACATTTCCATCGTACTTCTCAATTTGCATAAATAATTAAGCAGATCGTTTGGACCCGATAAATCCCGGATTTCGAATACGATGGAAATGTAGTCACTGTCAAGCCGAACACGGAGATACGCGGGGAAATGTTTCGCGCCATTGTTTGAAAGGGAAGCACGGCCCCCTGGCGCCCTCTACGCCTTTTACACCTCTGTAAAAATTGGAACTACTTTCAAAAGGACGAAACATGCGTGATCGGTAAAACAGGGTATACGTGGGTGCTGTGTCGTAATCTCAATCATCCACGCATAACAACTTTATTTGGTATTCGTAGTCTTCTTTCCCAACCTACGTTGACCCCGATACTAAAAACGAAAAGGTGATAACTACATTCTATCGCTACTGTGCTGTATTTGAAATCTGCAGACGTGTTTTTCGATTCGATTACCGATACAGAACATTTCGCCCCTTTGAAAGCAGTTCCACGGCGCTAGTGAGCCTTGCCTCACTTTCGACAATAGCGTGAAACACTACACTGACCAGTCGAACGTAATTAGTGGTAATACTCTACACTATTGGTGCTGAGTGTAACCAGCTGAAAACGTCATAAGTGTAAATTGTATAAGTATAAGAGTGTAAAAAGTGCAGCTAACCCGACCAAACCTATTGCTACGTAGTAAACGACCACCGATAAACAGTTATCTGTTTTAAGAGCTGTTCACGCTACAAAACAAAAAGATTCTGTATGCGGAGACGATACAAGACCAAGATGACTTAATGTCATTAATGAGCGGCAAGTATGTAATCCATTAGCTTCATTACGTAAACCAATTTCCCTGAAATGTGTTCAGCACTGATAACAGACAATCGTGACGGAGTTTGACCAACCATCGCCATGATGGATCCAAGCGGAAGTAGCAGATGATATACGTATGTCATAAGGTCGATTTTTTAATTGCCTACTACGAAATTACACGTTCGTATTGTACCAATCACTGGAAAAAGGTACCTGTGTGGACTATGCCGTCGAATAGTTAGAAACGTTAAGAAAAACCCCCGAAATGCCCCGAAGGTAGCCGAGTGGCGCATAAATGGCTGCGTTAATTAGGAATTGACGCCTATTGGCCAGATATCATCTAAACGGTTTCTACAGTGTCGCTTTATAATGTTAGTAATGGTGGTATGAATTACTGTTGCATTTAGACGTCTTAAAGTCAAATCGCCCTTGACCATTGGACGAATGCAGGTATCAAACATGTAAGGTGTTAAGGGGAAATGGTACATCGTTTTCTCTGTGTGCGTTTTCACCCCTACGAGAGCTGGAAGCGGGAGAACTTCGCACCCAAAAATGTCTGTACAGGATATACTTTGAATAACTTGAACGGATGAACTCGCAGCCTTTCGAAAATATAACTTTCCCTGCGAAGCCAGATTTTTCAATTATTTGTCAGAAAAGGCATAAATAATAAGTAAAAATCCGTCATGGCGGTCCAACATGGCCTGTGGCTTTGCTGGTATAACGCTTATGCCACCGTTACACGGAACCACTAACGAAAATAAAAAAAAGGGCCATGCAGGGAAAGTTGTACCCTCGTAAACTTCACCCCATATCACTGGGAACCACCGTTGAATAGCCGAACTCGATATTTTTGGGAGCGAACACGAGAATCTGTCAACAAGGACATTTTCCTCGCATAAAACTTGAGCGAATTTCCGCCATGAGCGCTAGTTGTACGTCGTGACGTCATGCGCGGTAGAAGATGCGCAGTGGACGGTGGCAGAAATAGCCAGCTATGTGACCGAACTTACCGGAGCCGTTGTAGAATTTTTCATTCGATGCAATACGTACACGCATCACGAAAACACACGAAACTTATAAATGTTAAGTTCTTTTGTTGTGTAATACAATATATATCTGTTTTCTAATGAATTGCTTAACAATGCCTTTATTTCTTTGCGTGAAGTATGACATTTTTATCGAGGACCATCCTGTGACTTTTACGGTCAAAATTACTGGGGTAGGGCTGCTTGACATCAAAATTGCTGTGTCGTGATTTCAAAAGCACGGTACAGCAACGGCGCTTACGTCACAAGTGTTGCCCCCGCTTGAAGTTACGTGGCAGCACGGTCATCTCGGACTTCTTTTAATCGTACCATTCCCCCTTAATTGAGTAACCACTGTCGAGTACCTCTAGCAAGACAGCTCTAACGTGTTCGTTTAATTCATGGAATTGTACAGATACGAGCGCATTGGTTTGAAAAAATACATGGCGAGGTTTGAGTAACACTAAGAAACCAAACGCGAGGTTATTTTCGCTGAACGTTGAATTTATATTTCTATGTCATTTGTCCCAGTAGGTAACGAGCACTACAGCAAAATGACGTGAAACCATGAAATCGATCCGAATGCGACATCTTTCTTGAAGGGTATTCCACTAAATTAACTGATATTTTGTCACGAGACTCGTGAGCATCTAAAGAATAACCCGATACGTTCCAATGTTGGACTGTCAAAAAATTATGAAGATCAATTAAAAAGTTTCTCTTTGAAAATGAATATTTTGAAAGTGCTAAGACATTCCTTAGATATTCAAGAATCACGAACTAAAATGTCAGCCAGTTCGGTGGAATATCTTTCCAATAAAGTGTTTTATTCAAATCGATTAGTTCGAGGGATTCAGATTACTTTAAGGCGAGGTGAAAGTGGTGCCAAAGAAGTCTCGTTTATGAAACTTTTCTTCGAAATGGATGTACCAAATCGTTTCAAACTTGACAATGTGAATATGGAGGCTATAAGAAGGGTCCTAACACTCACAAAATTTCAATTTTTTAAAAATTTGTTGCTATTTTCAAATTTTTGTTGTAACATGAATTTTTACGAGTGTTAGGACCTTCTTTATAGCCTCTCTCTGTTCACGTTGTAATATTTTGAACGACTCGATACACCTAGTTCGTAGAAAAGTTTCAACAATTGACCTTCCGGATGCCACTTTTACATCCCCTTAAGGTGAGATAGTTTTCGGTTTCCTGTAATTTGACGTGCATTCATCTAATTCTTGGGCATGATCTTATTAGAGATACTTTAAGAGACTGACACCAGCAGAAACACGTTGTCAAAACTTGCAATTAACTCAGACTGTACATTTTGGCCACTGGTCTACTAGCAATTTCATCCAGAATTGAATCTTCTGCGTTTAATCTCGAGAGCGTCGCTTCTGCGTAATCGCGTTAGTAAGGGAGACCGAGGTCAATTGTAACAATTTTTTACATTTTTAATTCCGTAATTGACACTAACGGTTTCTCACGACTGAAACTGGGTACATATATTAACCAAACCTTCCACTAAAAGATGGTTCAGGTTTTATCGCTTTGAAAGTTCATGGAAAATTGGCAACTTTATTTTCCGTACCGAATGTCTTTGTTACAATTACTCCCGATAGGGTGCGAATGTAACACTCGTCGGAGCAAATGTAACGATACTTATTAATTTGAAAAATTCAATGAATATTTAAAGACGAGAAGGATAAGTTGACAAATGCGTAGAAGCACAACAGATTGTATTAATTTGGGATTCGTCCGGAAATGAATATAAAATTTGGCAGACTTACAACCAACACACAGATTAAACGATAAATGTCAGATTGATCCATTTTGTTTTCATTCCGTTTATGAATATTTTTACGTGTACAAGGCATGTTCTCGTGTTCAAAAGGTGAGCCGCAAATAAATTAGATCGAACGTGTTTTTCGGCAATGTAGATGGCACTCGTTACACCTGTCCCCAACGCATTCCGTTAAACGATTGATATAATTATGACTACTTAGAGTTAATTCCACATTAAATCCATTAAACATGTAACGAAATCTTCTATATGCAATGCCATGGCACGGGTAAATCGGTTTGATTTCCTCTAAATTGAATAGAAAGGAAAAATATATAACCCATGAGAACGTTACTCACCCATGCCGTTTGACGAAAAATGTCGATAAGAGATTAACGAACATGAAATTACCGTGAGACGTTAATTGCGCTATCGGGGAGCTTCCCCTGTCTCGATTCGTTCTCCAAGTTGAATGATGCAATTCATAGTGGTTGTTACAATTGCCCCGTGCGACATTTGACCTCGGTCTCCCCAGTGCACGAAATGTTACCCTGCACCTATCGTACACAAGTTGACACAAGAGTGAAATCCAGTTGTGCACCGAATTATAAGGTATTTGGGTGTGCAAAGCGAAAACAGATCTCGTTTTAATTCAGAGGTCAAGGAGACCAAGTTCCATTCTCGTCGACTACTTGATACGTTCCACGGAACACTTATATCATACATTTATCTTGATTTATCGCAGACCACTCGACAAAAGGAAAACATCCGGTACAAGATTGACAATGCTCATTCTTGGCAATGTATTCTGACTTGCTATTCTTGATTAGCTCCGTCGGTAGCGAAGATCTACAAGGATGTATTTCACACTCGATCAGGTTCTAGTACGGTATCCACGACGATTGTGCGAGAAATGCTCGCTGCCAATTTTGGCAGCGGGGCACTTACACCGGCTCGCATTTCGGCTCGTCGCACGATTCCAATTATGTTAATCAGAATAATATTAATAATAACAGTAATAATTGTAATCATAATAGTAATAATATTAAGATAGACAGGTGAAGGGAGATGACAGGAACGAAGTCACAAGAGCTCGTATTGGCGAAGGTGCATCCGTTGAATGATGTCTCGACAATCGTTGAACACTCTTTTTATATTTTCTGTGTCGACGGCGCACGTGAAATGTGGATAACAGTAGTGCTTCCCGTCGCCGCTGGCTGTGCTTATGCGCTGGAAGAAGAAAAAGAGTTAACTTCTGCTCTAGTAGCACAAAATATTTATACATATTTCACGAGTATCGTACATTTTGGAAATATTTCCAAAACGTTCATTTCAGAATAGTATTATTATTATATTTGTATAATATTAGCTCCACGTGTTTTTGTCATATTTTTCTTACAGATGTATAAAACGTTTCGGTTCGTTTTAATACACGTGTTTTTTTTACAAATATTATCTGCCGAATACATCGTAAACGTTTTAAAAATATTTAAAATCAAAATCACATATTTTGCTGGCATAATGAAACAGCAGAAGGAAAATATTGCAAAAATTTGTCATGTTTTTTTTATATCAAATTAAGTGTCCGATAATAATTGTAAAATAAAAAAATATAATTTTTATATATACATTAAAAATTATTAAAACTAAATATGTCATTGAGATTTTCAACAAATATTTGATATTTTCGAATGAAATCTACGAGACATCTTAAAGAATCTGTCGCTTCAGATATTTAGCGAAGATTGGAAATAGTTATAAATTATTCTGTGCTACTAGGGTGGTTGAATAAAGATATTGCAAAGGTAATGCAGACGTGTAGTGGTAGACTGAGAAAACGGTTTGCTTGTTGAAAACAGATATATTTGAAAGAAACTTATTTTTTCTTCGTTATGCAGTCGAACAAGTATACAGAATGTAACAGAACTCGTAGTCACGGTTTATACAGCGCCATCCTTGTTGAAAAAGGAGTCGAAAAGTTCTGTACTATTCTTTCCTACAGTGTATAAATTTCCTGTAATAACTAACAAGGTTCTTGGATATGTTTTAGAGGACCAAAAAATAAGAAACACGTGTATTTTTATATCGGCCCGTATTCACATTTAGGGGGTGAAACAGCCCCTCAAAGTTTATAAGAAGAGGTATAAAAATGCCTAGTTTGAAGAATAATGTGGTGAGTAAAGCTTGTTGTAAATTTAAAATACGTCACAACTTGCTTGGTATATAATGTTCTTATAAGTATTCACCCTTACCTGGGGGTTAACTACCCCTAACCATACAAAGACACGTATAAAGACTTGAAACGTAGAACGATAAATGGTCATTAAATTCTTAAGGAACTTTAAGCATCAATTATTTTATTATGATAAAATAGTAGTTAATGACCGTCTATCACTATTGAGGGGTGAGACACCCCTAATTAATTAGTTACGTTTGTCTTATAATAAAAAGTGTAAAAGACGCGTAATCTTCGAACGAATGCAATTAAAATTCATGACGTGAACAGTATTTCATAAAGATGGAGCTCTAAAATGTCACCATAGTAACAACTACCCCCAACGGAAAGTACACCCCAATAGAGCCTCTTATGTCCGGTCTGGAAAAAGAAAATATTTACACGTACAATCGCTGTCCAAATGCAATGGGAATTCAAACAAGCACAAAGAGAATGTGCCAAATGGTGGCTAAGTCTCAATCAAGTCTCAAGTCTCTATACGTGTCTTTATATGGTTAGGGGTAGTTTACCCCCAGGGAAGGGTGAATACCGATAAGAACATTATATACCAAGCAAGTTATGACGTATTTTAAATTTACAACAAGCTTTACTCACCACATTATTCTTCAAACTAGGAATTTTTATACCTCTTTCTATAAACTTTGAAGGGCTGTTTCACCCCCTAAATGTGAAAACGGGCCGATATAAAAATGCACGTGTTTCTTATTTTTTGGTCCTCTAAAACATATTCAAGATCCAAAACAATCGGAGGCGGACACCTGAAAATCCTTCCTTGTAAGTGTAGCACAGCCAATCAATCGCGTTCTCCAACGGCAGACATAGCGGAGAGGGCGCCTGGAAGGCTGCTACGCCGCAGACAGTCGAACGCAGTCTTACCGACGTCCTCTCCGCTAGGGTTGGATAATTTCCCATTTTTCGAGGTTTTTGCCGTATATTACGTAACAAAGTAGTTTACTGGAGAAAATCGTAGAAAACCAGTAAATTACGTTTCCAATATGAAGAATGCCGCAGATGGACGACGTACGGCTTCTGCTAGGTTATAAACGTCTTTTAGCATATATGTAAACACGGGAATATTTTAAGGAACAATGAGTTAACTTGGCTCTTGTATTCAAAATTGTTTAGAATGTTACGTGTTCAATATGGCGGATTCTACAGATGCATGATGTATGTATTCGAGATGTTAACGTCGTTTAGCGCACATATAAACACGTCAAAATTGTTAAGAAATAATTAATTTGGCGTTTGTGTTTACACTTTTGCGGTTTGACCCTGTTTAATATCAAATTTCTAATTGTATTTGTTATTTTCTATTTAAAAAGAGTGGGGTGTAATGTACTTTGCGCTCGTGTAGGAAACTAGGGACGTATTATACGTTGTAATATTCACGTAGAAAACCACGTACATTACATGACGTATTATACTTACCCACCCTGCTTTCCGACTAATTGGCTGTGCATCACTTAGTTATTACAGGAAATTTATGCACTGTAGGAAAAAATAGATCAGGATTTTTGGACTCTTTTTTCAGCAAGGATAGCGCTGTATAAACCGTGACTACGAGTTCTGTTACACCCTGTATATTTAATTTAAATATATTTGTCGATGGACCATATTTGTTTGATGTAATCAAATGATTCGCTGCATTTGAATTCAATGAATGTTTCATTTAAATGAATAATTAATTTCAGTTGAACAAACATTTCATTTAAGCCAATTATTCGCTTGATTTGAAGTTAATGAATGTTTCATTTTAAAGAACATTTTAAGGGAAGAAGAGATTTTCCGTTAACGGAGGCAAAGAAGCTTGGATGTCTGACCAATTTAAGAACGGGCCATTGTTATAACTTTTTCGCGTAATGTTACAACTCAGATTACTGAATATGATTTTTTTAACCCATTAAAGTATTACTCGTATGACTATTTACTCCGAAGGACTTTGCGGCACCTCTGAATGTATTTGTTGAAATCGAATAAATCATTTCTTAAATTCAAATACTAGACACTTGAATAAGTTGATTGATTATTTTAAAGAAATTATTGATCTAAATTAAGACGGTTACGTCAAATAAATAATGTATTTTACTTAAGGACGTGAAAAATTTCTCAGGTACTGAAATCAAATAAACGTTTTGTCGGTTGATGCATATTTGCTTTAATAAAAACATTTTGTATTTATTTTTATATTTAATAAAAACAGTTTTTATTAAAACATTTTGCTTTAATAAAAACGGTTTTAACATATTTCTTTGTAGAATTAAATAAACTGTTCTCAAGAATTGCAGTAACCAGCGTAACATAGTATAAAGAACATAGGAAGGGTTACTTCACCATTTATCCAATGTAATTACAAGGAAAGAGTTGTTCCAACATTATGCATAGTTGTGAACGTCCATTTAGAAATTCACTGTTAACACAAAAAATTCGGCAGAATCCATACAAAGAAATATGTTTAAATCGTTCTTATTGAAGTAAAACAATTATATGCATCAATCAACAAAACTTTTAAAATAATGATAAAGAGGTCGATGTACAACTGTCGAAACTGGGTGGATTCATGATTTCTTATACTCTAATGGAACGACGCCATCTGTGACGTTTAGTTGCAACTAAATTTTTGATTTAAAACTCGTATTTCCCCCGGGACACATATTCTCTTGCATTCGTTCATAAAAGTATTTTGCAATTGTTTCCTATCTAACTGCATGAAACAGTAAGCTTATATATATTTGAAAGGTTATAGTTCGTGAATATATTTTATGATTTGGGTGTAGCGATTCACTTCAAATTTTTCCACGTAAATATGGAGGGCCTATGATAAGCTCTGAAAATCACGAAATTTCTTTTTTATTTTTTATAAAAAATAGTTTATTTATCACGGACTAGAACCAGCACGTCGTCATCCGTGTACATTTTTTATGTTTTACGCTTTTTGAAGGCATAGAATCGAGAATGAAAAGTTTTAGGACCTAGTTCGAACAATTTAGAGTACTATAGAAATGGAATATTACAAAGTCAGATGGGAAAACACTTTCACCAACGATTGCAAGAGAACGCTGACTTATCCCGTGGGTAACACATATTTTTAGAGCAAAAATTTAGTTGCAGCCAAACGTCACAGGTGGCGCCATTGATCCATTGGAGTATAAACAATCTTGAATCGTGATTTCGACGGGTTTACATCTTTATCATTATTTTACTGAAAGGACATATGGAATGCTTCATTTCGTATAATTCTCAACGTATAGAGTGCAATAGACTTCAACATAAATATAAATGTTGGTAACGTGATGCGCCAACTTATGTTACCATTTGAGTATTCAAAATGGCGTTACCACCAAAAAGGAGAAGATGAATTTTATATTATCGGCGTCGATTAAATTTCTCAACGCCTAAGGGGCGCAGGTAGCATCTAAGCAGTTAATCGTTTATGAAACTTTTCTGCGAAGTGAGTGTCCCGAATCGTTTGCAATGTTACCACGTTAATATGGAGGCCGGAAAGAAGGTCTTGGCGCCCATAATATTTCAATTTTTATAACAAAATTAGGAAATATTTGTAAGCAAATTAAAAAAAATGAAATGTTATGAGTGTCAGAACCTTTCCTAGGACTTCCATATTCACGTGGTAATATTTCAGACGATTCGGTACACCTGCTACAGAAAAAAGTTTCATAAACAATTAATCACGCAATATCTTAGGACGACGTGAAAGCTGCATTTGAGAGGTCTAATCGTTTATGAAACTTTTTTCTGAACTGGGTGTACCGAATCGTTTAAAATTTTACCAAATAAATATAGAACCCCCGAGAAAAATCTTAACGACCATAAAATTCCATTTCTTTTTAAAAAATTCTTCACGAAAAGGAATTTAACAAATAAAATGTCACGTACGTCAGAATTTTTCTTAGGGCCTCCACATTCACGAGGTAAAATATTAAACGATTCGGTGTACCCAATCCGAAGGAACCGTAGGGGGGAAACCGGGCAAGTTGCCCACGTGGTAAATTTACCAATGTTTAATAAAGTTTATGTTTTTTACTTAATATCGTTCTTAATTTTATCATCCATTCCTAATTGTGTCCCACACTTTTGTGGGTATTCAACATAATTTTTTGCAGCGCCGTTTAGTTATAAAAAAATATAATACAAAAACTATGACGGAAAGCAAATTTGTGCAGTTCTCCTTTTTTTCCTGTTGTAGCATAATATATTCCTTTTCATCACTTTGAAACTATGGCATATGAAAAAAGCATCCATTTAGCTTTGCATCGCTATATTTATATTTTTAAATAAAATTATTTATCATTTGCCAAAATGCTTTCGATTGTTAAAATGACGTTCGGGGCAGGTTGACCGACAAGTTCTTGACGTCACGGTTCCTAGTAGTTTTTCTGTTATCGTTCGTGCTTCAGGTATATTCCGAATAATTATTTATTAGTTCACTTAAAATAATGAGCTAAGCTTGGTGTGCTCTAAATTTATTGCAAAATCTCTTTCATTGATCGGTCGATGTATTGTCTGTTTTCCTTGCGAGTAATAGTAACTTAACCTTTTCCAATCACAATGTTCAACTTTTTGATATTACCCACCAACTACAAGGCAAAAAACACGTTATAACATTGTTCAAAACCCTTATTAAAAATATACCACAAAGTACAAATGAAGTCAAACTTCAAATCAGTCGATTCGAATACAACACTTTTTTTTTGGGGTAGACCAAACTGTCCGCAACTTTGACACATCACTCCATATCATCTAAGAATTGTTCTGATACATTCAAAATTTGGATTTTTGGACAAAATTTGTTATCTTAGCTCAGACAAGAACCAAAATGGCGTCGAGCTCTTATATTTTGATCGATATACAATTATAGAAGGCTCTGATACGAGAAACGAAAGGGTCAGGACAATTTTACGACAATTTAGAACACTCTGGTAATCGATAAACTCGCATTTGAACGGGATAAGGGCAAACAAAGTGTTGTATGCGCTTCTTTGCTAAAACGATGGTAATACAGGGTCTGGGAGTGAAAATTTAATTGACCTGGAAATCACAGATGGCGCAGGGGGTCCCTCCGCAGTCAATTAGGGCCCCACAAAACACGAATCCAGAGGATTTCTAGAGTTTTACTTCGATTTCTTTATAATTATTGTACGAAAACGATAGGTGGAATATGATATTTGGTACAATACCCAATATAATTCGATATAGCTGTCAATATAAAAACGAACGTCGGCAACGTAGGCATTTAGAAAAATCTTCTTTATCGACGTCGATCAAGTTCCTCGACGTGTTTCACTTCACCTTATACTTTCGAAAAAGATGAAAGAATCTTGGACTGGAATTATTGTACCTGAATGTATGCCCACCATAACGATGTACAAATCGTTTGAAAATTCTTATTATCTCACTCGCAATGAAACATTATCGAAAAAGTCGGTCAACTTGTCCCGGTCTTCTCTAAACGAGACACATCATATGCCGCTTTCATATTACTTTAATAATGTAAGTTTGTGGCCTAAATCTAAACAGAAATGAATGATCATTGTACCACGCATTGCTTAAATGTTAAGTCTTTAAATGGAAGGAAATATTTGAAGACTCACAAGAAATTCATCTCTGATGAAGTACTTGGCCCTTATAACATCTGGAGGCTCCATGGGGTCTGGTACAACTCCAGGCTCGACGGGGGTCTGGTACCTCGAAAACTCTGGAAAGTAGTCTTCTAATTTGTGCTTGCCCGCCTTTATTTTCTCCGCAAGTAAATCCTGCTTGTTTAGGAACAAGATCACGGATATTGTGCGGAGCCATCTGTAAATCAAGAGAAATAGTTGCATGACTCCGTTCAGGGATACCTTGTCAAACAAGACAATTATGTAGTGGAATGTTTCACCGCAGACACTATTCATCTATTTACTTAAAGTTTCATTAGTTTACCGTGTTAGGTGCTTTGCACATTTATGAAAATAGATGTTTAACCTTTACACGGAAATTGAAGCATTTAATCCAATGTCATCATATCGTAAATCTAAACTGAGTCTAGTTAAATTAACTATTTTTTAACTGGTTTACATAGTTAAAAAAAAACTCGGACACTTTTTATACTAAATTAACTTTTTTTCTCAACTAAGAAATCTAGGAACGGTTACTATATTTTTTTACCTTTTGGGTATATGTCTAGATCTATAGATCGCATTAGTCCATGAAACTAATTGTAACAAAAATTAACTTTGTATAGAATTTGTATAACGAAAAATATTGATACGTTCATAATAATTAATATTTTTATCTTAATAAATGTTTTACATTTTAACTAATGTTTAATGTAATTATTTCAGTTCTTACAGTGATTTAAAACAAGCGTTGCGCCACTGACACTTTTGTTACTTCTCTTATGTTTAATATACTGTTTTCTTACATTTGTGTGTGTCAGTTTAAGCAACGTCTGTTTTAATCATTGCAAGTACTTTCTAAATCCCGAAAATATCCCATCGATTAATAAATGAATTTGAATAGCCCGCCAAATAATTTAGTTCGCGAAAAAGGTTTACTCCAACCGAAGATGGCGGTAGTGCATAAGCGTCACACCCCAATAGATGGCAGTGTCACCCCCCTGTTCTGACTCGACGACCACCACGACCCCCAAACCTTTAGCTGCGATCAGTACAGTACGTATAAATATTTGTCGTATAACGAATTGGAATAGTTACTCGATGAAATTTCTGAACATTTTGGAAAATTATACTAATACGCATATTTGAACATTATCCAGTTTGAAGAAAACCAACGTCTATAAAATATTGAAAAAAAATGTATGTGTTCCACGTGCAAAAAGGAATTTCTATCACCTATAGTTATTTCAATATTAGATGAATATTTGATGCTTATATTTATAAATATTGAAACGTGTTTAAGTCAAAATGTACAACCGACATTGGTTATATTGGTATTTCAATGTCGAATTCATAAATCGTCAATATTTCATTGCAAACGTCGGGGTAACATTGATAAAAGAATATGGAATAAATGTTTGCTAATATACAACTAGAGGATTATATTTTTAATATGGAGTGCATCTGTAAATAGCAGCTTAGAAGTAATATCGTTTTTCTGTGGTCAATGCAATATTGGCTGTAAAATATAAGATTTGCAATAAATTCAATATTGAAAAACATAAGTCACATACAATCGGGAATAACAACTTTGAAACAATATATGCGATGATAGACTGCGACTTACAATATCGAACGAATGTTTAATTTATATTTGATTTTCAATATTTAAAATAGAAATGAATTTAAACATTTACAAATTATTGGATATATAGTGACCAACATT